TTATTACAGTATTAATATGAGTAACATTGCTTCGTCAGATATATCAGTGAAATCATTATTCACACTTAATAATAATGATTTTAAAGAGTTTGCCTGTGGCTGGGGAGCTGCAGTTATCAATGTATCCATCACTTTCCCTATTCATAAGATTATATTTAGACAGGTATGTGTAAAAAGTGATTTAAGCATATTTTATTTGAGATGAAAAGATACGGGGAATAACTCTTGATTATTATTGCGTAGATCTTAGAAGATGTTCCAGCTAATACAGCCTTTCGGCAAATATCCAGGGAGGGAATACACCTGTTATATCGTGGAATTTTACCACCTTTTTGCCAAAAAACTTTTTCGGTTAGTGTAATGTTCAGTACATATGAAGGTTGTAAGGATCGTTTGTGCACATTAACAAATAACGGTATATTAATTAGAATATTAGCAGCCCATTTTGCTGGCACTGCTGAGGCTATACTTATGCCCCTCGAAAGAGTACAAACATTGCTGCAAGATTGGCGGTATCATGATAAATTTAAAAATACTTCTCACGCATTTAAATATTTATTGAAAAACTATGGTATATCGGAGTGTTATCGCGGATTAGTCCCAATCATATATAGAAATAGCTATTCCAATTTAATGTTTTTCATTTTGAAAGAACAATCACAAAAGCTGATGGGTGAGCAGGAGTCATTTTTAACAAGTTTCATCAATGGTGCATTAATTGGTGGTTTCACGAGTACTGTATTTTATCCAATAAATGTGATAAAGGTACACATTCAATCGAAGATAGGTGGCAATTTTGAAAAGTTTATGAGCGTCGCTCGCGAAATATATGTCGCAAGAAACAGAAGTGTAGTTTCATTTTATAATGGTGTGCATTTAAATTGTATGAGATCCTTTCTTAGTTGGGGTATTATAAATGTATCTTACGATTTTCTAAAAAGAATTATGTTCTGATAATAACTTACAATATAAACGATGATTTTCATCTATTTGAATAAAAATTTTACTCGTATAATTTTACGTTACATTTTTTATTGAAC